GAGCCTGTGCGGACGATGCTGGCGCGGTGTTTTACTCGATTCAATCCCTTCGGCGGCTCCACAAAGTCTTTCAAGCCTCGGCGCGCGTGGCAGGCCTGCATCTGAAGCCGCCGAAATGCTTCTTAGTGCCGTTGTCTGGCCCCTGCACGCCTGAATTGCGCGAGCAGGTCTTATCTTGGACTCGGGAAAACCCCCCGGCCTTGTTTGAGTTTCGGGTCGAGGGCTCCCTTGTTTATCTTGGGCTCAAGCTTGGGCCTTCGGTTCTGGGCGATTCCTGGAATGGCCCGCTGATGAAATATCAGATGAGGACGGCCCTTCTGGCGGAAGCTCGTGCGCCGCCGTCGGTCACCGCCTTATCGTACAATCGCCGCGCGCTCACCACTCTCTCATCTGTCAGTCAATTTAACATGTTGCCTCAATGGCATCGCAGGCGTGAGCGCGCCAATCTTGCCTCCATTGAAGCCGTGCCTCATTGCTGCCTCAGCTTTGCTGGCTTCCTCGCCCTGGAGAAATGGGGAGGGCCAATATTCAGGATCGCGGAGGTCGTGAACCGCGCCTCCCTCATCCGATGTGCAATGGTGACGTTTCCCGAATGGCGGTCGCTACTTGATCGCTTGCAAGCCGTGGCAGAGGAATACCTCCCCGCAGTACAGATCGCGGAGGGACAGCTCTCGCCAGCTTTCTGGCAGGCACCGCCGCTGGTCAGTCTTCTATGCGAAGCCGCTTCGGGCTCCCAGAACTCCCAGAAGTGGAGACGCGCGGGTCGCCTGGCGGTGGCCGAAGCCAATCTAGCCATCGCCGAGGGAGACCGAAAGGTGCAGCGGCGTGCAGGCAGAGTCCTGCAAGAAATGATGTACCCTGACCCTCTTGAGCAGCTCTTCCAGAAACGATAACTCGCTTATTTCCCCGAGGCTCGGCACCAAATTTTGAAGATCCCCTGGGGCCAAGTACAGAGCACGTTGCTTAAGCTCCCGAAGAGTTGAACCAATGCCATACTTAAAACCCTATGTGGGGTGTGGACTACAGTTACCCGTCTGCGCGAACCCCAAACTGGTGCAGGATATAACTACTGTTGTTTAGGCTGTCAAGCTAGAGATAATGTAGCCCACTATTTACAGCGTAAGCGATTCCAGGATTTGATTGCCTCTGTCCTTGGTCGTCTGATCCCGTCGCGTCCTGTCGCCCTTCTCGGTCTCGATCCTCCCAGTCCTGAATCGCTTGTTATAGTTGTGGCCGCTTTCCACCTGTATAATCATATCAGCCGATTACCGCACGGAATCAATCAAGGCATCGATCCGTATGTCGTACAGGCGGTGCTGCCGCAGGTGCGCGCCGAGGTTTGGCGCGCGGCGAGCGGTTCGACCTGATGCAGGACCCAGGCCGCTTGAGCTACGCGCCAGGAGGAGGAGGAGGAGGAGGAGGAGGAGGAGGAGGAGGAGGAGGAGGAGGAGGAGGAGGAGGAGGAGGAGGAGGAGGAGGAGGAGGAGGAGGAGGAGGAGGAGGAGGAGGAGGAGGAGAGGAGGAGGAGGAGGAGGAGGAGGAGGAGGAGGAGGAGGAGGAGGAGGAGGAGGGAGGGGAGGGAAGAGGAGGAGGAGGACGAGAGGAGGAGGAGGAGGATAGGAGAGAATGAAGGAGGCGGAGGAGTGGGAGGAGGAGGAGGAGGGGTAGGTGGGAGCGGATATGGGAGGGGGAAGGACAGGAGGAGGAGGGAGGAGGGGAGGAGGAGGAGGAGGGAGGAGGAGGAGGAGGAGGAGGAGGAGGGAGGAGGAAGGAGGAGGAGGAGGAGGAGGAGGAGGACGGAGGAGAGGAGGGCGAGGAGTTGGAGGAGGAGGACGAGGAGGAGGAGCAGGAGGAGAGAATGAAGGAGGCGGAGGAGGAGGAGGAGGAGGAGTTGGAGGAGGAGGAGGCGGAGGAGAAGGAGGAGGAGGGAGGGCGAGGAGGAGGAGGACGAGGAGGAGGAGGAGGAGGCCGAAGGAGGAGGAAGAGGAGCAGGAGGGAGGTGGAGAAAGTTGAGGAGGAGGAAGAGGAGGAGAGAATGGAAGAGGAGGAGGACAAGGAGGAGGAAGAGGGGGAAGGGGGAGGGAGAGGCAGCGAGGAGGAGGAGGAGTGACAGAACAGGTGGGTGGCGAATGATTATACCAACGCTCGATGAATTGACTACGGGAGGCTGACCTTGAAATGCCAAGACAAGTAACCGCGCAGCTGATCGAGTGGGCCTTTTTAGCGGCACGGCAGTGGATGTTACGTGGCGTGTCTATTGTTCAGGTTTCGGTGCTGGTTCCGTCGCCGATTGTTTTCCGATTCCGTCATCGTTTTTTGTTCGGTTCCGGTTCGGGGGCTGTTTGTCCAGATTGCCAGAAATTGTAACAGCGGCCTTGCCGGTTCCAGACCCTCTAAGGCGTACGTTGCGCACATCGTTGTGCAGCAGGAGGTCGGCGCAAGTTGCTTCGGCCTCCTGTTGAGTGGCCGCGCCAGCTGGTGTGGTGCACTTCCACCAAGCAGTGGCACATCGTCATGGGCGGCCTACAAGCCCACCAGCAGATGTTTCCCGTTTGTGCGAACGTTCTTGAAACATCGTGCCGAGGCAGTTTTGTTTTTGTGTTGATGCTTTCGTTGGTTGGAAGTTGGTGGCTCTTAGAAAAGATTGAGTGCTTGTGGAAGGTATCTCAAAAAACTTGGACGGTCGGTCCCTGCTCAATTCCAGTTGTCTCATGCATTGCGCTCCTCGGACGAGTTATGCACCACCGTTCCGTGTCGGAATCCGAAATGCTGGAGTTTTCCGAGTTGTTTCTTCCCTTCTCCGAAGGCCAAAATAGCAGGTTCCAGGAGCTTTGCTGGACATTTTCCGGCAATTGTGGTGTGTACGAAGGAGTCCCATAATACAGCCAGACACAGTGTATTTTGCATTCACGGGTACGCGTGGTGTTTTCTCTACGGCGGAAACAGGGAGGTCGTTCGTGACAGCGTCGGCCTGCCCCGTGTGGTTGGTTGTGGCAGGTCCTGAAGAGGATGGCCAACCACACGCCGAAACGCTGAGGGCGAACTTGACCAGGGGTGCCCGAATAGTTGGGCATACTCAGTCCGAGACCAAAGGAGGACCCCAAGGCAACCGCCTCCTGCATCCACCGGCCAAGCCGGGTGGCATCCACCGGCCAAGCCGGATGGGTGCGGAGGCGGGTTTACAGATAATGCTTTGCACGTTGCATTTGTTGTGATATGACAAGCAAATTACGGGTTGTCAGCCGAAGCTCTCCAGGAGCTCGCCGTCGGCGGCGCAGCCTTTTTTCCCCATCAGTCAGAGAGATTCCGGCATGCCTGCGCGTGTTGCAAAGAGATTCCGGCATGCCTGCTGTGAAATCGGCTCCGCCGTCCCGTGCTCCAGTCAGTGCTCTGGTCACGGGGGCGGGGGGTCAGACACTCAAGGAAAAAAGGGGCACCCGCGGCCAGTCCGCCAGGTGCCGGCGGTGTCACGAAAGAGGGGGCAGTTGTTTCTTCCTTTCTCCGAAGGCCAAAATAGCAGGTTCCAAGAGCTTTGCTGGACATCCTTTGGCAATTGTGGTGTGTACGAAGGAGTCCCATAATACAGCCAGACACAGTGTATCTTGCATTCAAGAGGTACGCGTGGTGTTTTCTCTACGGCGAAAACAGGGATGTCGTTCGTGACGGCGTCGGCCTGCCCGGTGTGGTTGGTTGTGGCAGGTCCTGAAGAGGATGGCCAACCACACGCCGAAACGCTGAGTGCGAACTGGACCAGGGGTGCCCGAATAGTTGGGCATACTCAGTCCGAGACCAAATGAGGACCCCAAGGCAACCGCCTCTGCATCCACCGGCCGAGCCGGGTGGCATCCACCGGTCAAGCCGGCTGTGTGCGGAGGCGGGTGTACAGATAATGTTTTGTACGCTGGATTTGTTGTGATATGACAGGCAAATTACGCTCCGAGGAGGAACACCAGAGGGGCCTGGAGCAGGTAGGCACCGGCCTGCCAATCCAGCGATTCGTTGACACTCCTGGGGCTTGGCAGCGGCCCCCAAACGCGGGAAATCAAAGGCCGACTTATTGCCACCGCGTTTGCGCGCATCTTGTGCGCAAGACCAGCCTGTTTGTCGCGGTTGTATACAAGCATCGTGCCCCCATGGGATGCTATGTTTTACATAGCCCCCGCCCCAATATCTTGTGCCGACCCCGATTGTTTCTGGGAGTGGTGTAGACAAAGGTAAGTCCCCATGAATATTCAGATATTCGTATACGACCATATTTCGGGTGATACGCGGGTTCGGGGGGTGGAGGAACCAACGTTTCCATGAGCCGATCACACTACCGACCTCACTATTGATCTCACTATTGATCTCACTGTCGATCTCACGACCGATCGCACAGTCGATGCCATTATAGATCGCACAATCAATCTCACGATCCCTCTCACTATCGATCTCACTACCCCACGGGACACCGCGGGACACCGCAGGACACCACCACGGGATACCGCGGGACACCGCGGGACACCACGGGACACCATCGGGACACCACGGCGGGACACAACGGCGGGACACCGCGGGACACCATCGACACACCACCAGGACACCATCGGGACACCAATCGAGACACCGCGGGACGCCACGGGACGACGTCTCGGGACACGAGAGTAGACCATCGGGACCCCACTGCGGGAGACCCCCGGCACCCGCCTGCCACGCGGCCGCGGGGGGGCGGAGTTCTGTCTTCGCCACGCCCTAGCCAGAGGAAGGTTCATTTCTTTCGCCCGCCCGCAGCTTCGCCTCGCCCGCACGCACGACACAAATCCGACACCGAAACCGATTTCGATGTGGGGGGCTTTCCGTTCCACTTCGACCTCACCCCTTCACCTCCGATCTCCGACGCGGTGGTTTCTCTACTCGCCATAGGTCCACGGGAAAGACAGGGCAGCGCTACTCTTCCGTTATGGCGGCTGGCCCACCGCGAGCAGGTGTCGCCTGCGCCGCGCAGCTCGACGCCCCAGCCGATGATCGCAGGCGGGGATATGGGTTGTCGGGCTACAGATCCCTGTCGTTCGGCACGTAGTCTCAGCAGATCCCCGCCGATTTGACAGCTTGAGAAAAACGATGCCGATGTGTGCCGCCCCACCCGACGGGCTGAGGCCATTGGATTGAAGAGACGAGCTCCGGGCCCGCCTCGCGCACACCCTGGATACCCTGGCCGCCAGATCCAAAGTGCGCGGGTGGAATGTTCCCTCGGGGTGCCGCGTCGCGTCTTCGACGAAGGTCGACTGCGTACCGCGGGCGCCATGCCCCAAGGGGCCGTGCTCCCTGAGGATCCCGGCTCGCAGTCTCGGATGGAGACCGCTCGAAGCAAACAAATGATCCCCCATATCCGGAGTGGCGTTCTAGTTTTCTTGGAACTCTTTTGCCTTCTCCTTCTCGCTCTCCCGCCTCCTCCTCGTCCTCCTCCGCCTCCTACTCGTTCCTATCCGTTTGATCCTCTTTGATCCTTCTCTCTGTTTCCTTCGTCCTCCTCCTTCGTTTCCCCCTCCTGGGAGAGTGTTTCCCCCTCCAGGGAGGCCGTGTCGGACCGAGAAACTAGCGAAGACGGCGTTTTTTTAAGAAGGGATCTTGCGTTCCCCACCTTCCCGGCCTTCCCACTGCCACGTTTCCCCCTCATGCGAGGCTGTTTCCCCCTCAAGGGAGGCCGTGTCGGACCGAGCGGGCTATGCGCAGACCGTGTTATTTGTCAGGGATCGTGCCTTCCCCACCTCCACAGAAACACGTTTGCCCCTCCAGGGAGGCCTTGTCGGACCGAGTGGGCTATGCGCAAAGCGTGCTATTTGTCAGGGGTTGTGCCCTCCCCACCTATCCAGCCTTCCCGTGTCCTCCTGACCTAGCGATGCCAATATTTTGCTATGTACTGGATTTCGTGCCTTCCCCACACTTCAGCCTTCTCATTACCGCGCTGCCCCTCAGGGGAGGCGGCGTCGGACGGAACGGGCTATACGGATACCGCATCATTCTTCGTCCTCTTTGATGTTTCCTCTCATTGCATTCGTCTCCCCTTCACGCGTATATATGATTGTTATGGGCCTTACACTCATGGTGCTGCTGTAATGCCCCGTTGATCGCGCCCTGAACATCCTTATGTGGGGAGCTCCGATGACATAAATTTTCTATGTTTACACACGCCCACACATATATATGTGTATATATATATATATATATATATATATATACGAGTAGGCCGGGGGGGGGCAAAATCGGTGCCGTCATCCCTCATGGCCGCCCCCCCGAACCTTTGGTGGGTCACAGACCCCCCGGGACTGCCCCAGGCCGCTTCCAAATTGACCACGACAGGCCACGCGGGCCGTACAAATGGTCCAGCCTGAAGAGGCCCCGAAGACGCCCAAGAGCGGCCCAAGAGGGCTCGTGAGGGCCCCAAGAGGGCCTTCAAGAGGCAAACATCTGCCCATTGCCTTTGTAAAACGTACATTTTCAGCATACTCGCTGGCTTCGTCTTCACAGTGCCCCAGACGCCCCCGCAGAGCCCCAAGACAGCCAAAGAGAGACCCAAGAGGGCCCCTGACGGCCCAAAAGGGTCGTCCTGTGGGGCTCACGGAACCCCCCAAAGCCGGCCCAGGAGGCCCCCAAGACGGCCTCATGGAGGCTCAAGAGGACCCCGCTCGAAATCATGTTCCCGGAAGCCTCTCCGGGAACATGACTTCCGAGTTCCGAGGACGCCCAAGAGGGCCCGAGATGGCTTGAAGGTGACCGAAGAGGGCCCCGAGAGGGCCTTCAAGAGACAAACATCGGCCCGTTTCCCTATCAAAACGTACATTTCAGCATTCTCGCTGGCTTCGTTTTCACAGTGCCCCAGACGCCCCCGCGGAGCCCCAAGGCAGCCCAAGAGAGACCCAAGAGGGCCCCAGACGGCCCAAAAGGGTCGTCCTGTGGGGCTCACGGAACCCCCCGAGACGGCCCAAGAGGCCCCAAAGCCGGCCCAGGAGGCCCCCAAGACGGCCTCAGGGAGGCCCAAGAGGACCCCATTCGAAATCATGTTCCCGGAAGCCTCTCCGGGAACATGATTTCTGGATTCCCAGGGCCACCTAGAGGGCCCCAGGACAGCTTCAGCGAGGCCCAGAGGGCCCGAGATGGCTTGAAGATGGCCGAAGAGGGCCCCAAGAGGGCGGCCTTCAAGAGGCAAACATCGGCCCATTTCCAAATTAAAACGTACATTTTCAGCATGCTCGCTGGCTTCGTTTTCACAGTGTCTCAGACGCCCCCGCGGAGCCCCAAGACAGCCCAAGAGAGACCCAAGACGGCCCAAGACGGCCCAAAAGGGTCGGCCCGTGGTCCGTAGGCATTTTGGCTCAAGGAGACTCCTCTCGGCTCGGGCTCGGCGCCAGCGCTTGCGGCGCCCGGCCCGCGTGCGTTGCCGGCGGGCCGCGGGCGCCCAGCGGCATGTCGCCGCCGGCTGGGCGCGATGATGGCGCGAGCTCAGCCAGTCCAGACCGCATGGCCGTTGAACTGTCCCTCCGGGATGCTCCGCTCCTGAAGGCAATCGCCGTGGCCCACGAGCAGCTCGAGATGCGCATAGCGGCGAATTTAGAGGATCAGCGCGTGTCCATACTGAACGGCCTGGCGCAGGCTTCCGGCCGCCCGCGGGAGGCCAACGCGCAACTTCAGGAGCGGCCTGCCGCGGACCTCTGGGGCCCCTTCGGCCCGGGGGCCCGGCTGCCCAGGGGCAGCGCGGCCGCCCTGGACGGCCCGGCCGGCGCGGGAGGCGCGGCCAGCAGCGCGTTCGGAGGCGTGCCGCCGCGCCGGGGGGGCCTCGGCGGCAAGGCGGCGGCGCCGGCGTTGGGCGGCGCGGCGGTCGCTGCGCAGGTTGACTTCCCCTCATCTGAGGACTCCGCCGCTGCCCTGGACGAGCTGGCCTCGGAGGCAGGGACGCTGCACAGCGCTGGCGATGCGGAGTCGAACACAAGGGCGAGCTCGGCTCGCACAGGTATAGACGCGGGGCGGGTGCGGAGCTCGCGGAGCACATCGAGCAGAATCGGCGAGGTGTTCTCTTTCCGCTATCTCACTGGCAAGATGGCCAGCAAGAACAAGGGGCTGGCGAATTCGTTGAGCGGCGAGTTGGCACACATACAGCAAGGCAGGCAGATGGTTTTGGACGGGGCCTCGGGCCGCACAGTAAGCTCAAGGTCCTGCACAGGCATGCTGAACCGGGTACTGGCGAGGCCCGAGATAGAGATGCTCGTCGCTTGCGCTATCATACTAAATGCGGCCAGCATCGGTTCACACGTGGACTGGAGGATAAAGAATGCGGCCGAGGAAGCTCCAGTGGAGTACAGGGTCGTCGACGTCACTTTTGTCGTCGTGTTCGCAGTAGAGCTGCTGCTTCGCATCATTGCCGCGGGGGGCACCCCGTTTTTCCAGTGGACAAACAAGCAGCTCGGATGGAACGTCTTCGATTGCATTCTTGTATGTGTCACCTTGCTAAATGAGTTCAACCCCTTCAGCCTCAACTTGTCAGTGGTCCGCGTCTTCCGTGTATTTCGCCTGGCTCACGTCGTGCGCATGATCCGGCTGTTAAAGGGTTTCCGAGAGCTCAGGCTAATGGTCACAGGCATTCTGAATTGTGGCAAGACGTTGCTGTGGTCGTTCATCATCCTGTTCACGCTCACTTACATATACGCAGTGTTCTGCCTTCAGATCATTGCAGAGTGGCAGACACATGAGGAAATGACATCGGAGAACGCACTGTCGGTGAAGGACAATTTCCGATCGTTGTCATGGAGCATGTACGTCTTGACCCAAGCTGTACTTGGAGGTGTCAGTTGGGGTGAAGTGTCCACCCCGATGGAAGAGGTTAGCACGTTATTGCGCATTTCATTTCCGCTATACGTTATTGTGATCGTGCTCTGCGTCTTGAACATTATTGTAGTGGCCTTCGGCCAGTGCCGCCGATCCGGGTCGCTCGGGGTTATTCTCCAGACGCAGAAATTATGGGCGCACACTCAAACGCACACACACAGTCACACCACTTAACCTGCGCCGCAGACATGCGCACACAGCATCACCCACACACACATACTAGTTGGGAAACGCACCTGTAGTACTAGTAGTAGTATTAGTAGTAGTAGTAGTAGTAGTAGTAGCAGTAGTAGTAGTAGTAGTAGTAGTAGTAGTGGTAGTAGTAGTAGTAGTAGTGGTTGTGGTAGTAGTGGTAGTAGTAGTAGAGGCCTCGTTCCGCGGCTTCTCTCGACTTCCCGCGGTCTCTCTCAAGTTTCGAGCACGCGGTGAGTTTCACGATATATGTGTGTGTATGTACGCGTGCATGCATGTATGCATGCATTGATCATGTGTGCCTGTGTGTAGGTACGTATGTATGTATGTATGCTTGTGCGCGTATGTATGTATTTAGTTTGTATGTATGTTTGTATGTGTGTATGATAATATGTGTGTATGTGTGTGAATGTAAGTATGTATGTCTGGAAGATTGTTTTTCTATGTATGCAAATGTGTTTAAATGTAGGTATGTATGCATGTGTGTATGGATGTGCGTTTGAAGAGCGAGGATGTTTCAAAGAAGAGGCACTCGGTGACGCGATCGTTGAGGGATAGGAGTGAGGTCGCAGAGGAGGAGGAGGAGAATGAGGAAGAGGCGATAACTTGAAGGAAAACGATGAGACGGAGGACATCCTGCCGGTGGCGCCCTGGGCGGTGCCGCGGAAGAAACCGGGGGCCTGCCGGAGGCAGTCTGGAGGCCTCTGGGGAGCTGTTTTGGGGCCTCTTGGAACCTCTTTTGGGCCTCTTGTGGGCTTCTTGGGGCCCCTTGGGGGTCTCTTGGGGCCTCCTGGGGGCCTCTTGGGGCGGAAAGCTCGGTTCTTTCGGTTCGTGGTCCCCCTCTTGGGCCCCTCTTGGGGCTCTCTTGGGGCCTTCTTGGGCTGTCCAGAGGCCCTCTTGGGCCGTCTTGGGGCCCTCTTGGGCCGTCTTGGGGCTCTCTTGGGCCGTGTTGGAAGCATCGTGGGCCGTCTTGGGACGGACTTGGGGGCCTCTTGGGCCGTCTTCGAGCGTCGGACGCCCGAAAAGGCAAGAACGCTAAAAACCCTGAGAAAACCAATGAAAATCAACGATTCTGGCCTCTTGGGGCCCTCTTGGGAGGCCTCTTGGAAGCTTCTTGGGGCGTCTTGGAGACACCTTGGGCCGTCTGGAGGCCATCTCGGGCGTCTTGGAGCGATTTTTCGGCGACTCGGGGCCCTCTTGGAACCCCTTGGGGGTCTCTTGGGCCCCCCCCCTCCTCCAAAGCGCCGGAAAAAGCGGAGCATGGCGCCCCCCCCCCCCCTATCTTCCACTCCCCCGGAGCGGCCCCGGGGTTCGCCGGAAACTCGCACCCCCCCCCCCCCCCCCTACCCCCCCTTCCCCGGCAGAGCCACCCCGGCGACCCCCCCAGAGGCTGAAGCTCAGCCTCGAGGCTGTAGCTGAGACTCCTTGAAACTCACACGCCGGATCGGCGGATTACCGCCTCCTTTGTTGAAGCTGCTCAGCGTACGTCGCAGGACGAGGATACCAAGTTCATCGAGCACATCGACGGACGACAGATTTGGATTCAGAAGTTGCAGGACGTCTTCGCAACGCACGACTCCGAAGGTGACCAAATGCTTGACTGGAACGAGTTCCAAGACGTGATGGGACCGAACAATTGGCGTGCCCAGACTCTGTTCCGGGAGATTGGGCTGGACCTCGACTACCAGGACATCAAGACCTTATTCGATTTGTTCGACGTGGACGGCAATCGCAGGATCGACGTCAACGAGTTTACCCAGAGCATCTTCCACTACCGTGGCAACGCGCGGAGCGTGGACATGGTCCGCCACTTCCGCCAGCTCGAGAAGGCCGTGGAGCAAAACATCGACCGCGCAGTCGAGAAGATCGTCGACCGCGCCTTCAGCCACGTCGGAGCCCACTACCCCGCGCGGCGCGAACCCCGCACCACCGCCCGCTGCGATCACTGAGAGCTCGGACGACGACGACGGCAAGCTGTCCCCCTGTGGAAGGATACTGTTTGAGCCTGAATAATATGTCATCTACCTCCTGTTCTCCTCCTCCCCCCATTTCCTTCCTTTTCTCTGCAGCGGCAAGCCCGCGAATGTGAGCCAAAGTGTTCGCGCGTGATTTCTCCTGCCGACGCGCATGCATGCGCATGGCTTCTGGACTGTACCGCGCTCCGCCGTCTCCGCCTCACGGGGCAGGCGCAGATGCCGGCCAGATTCGGGAGACTTTCTCGTGCACCCGCCGCCATCCCACAACGGCGTCGACGCCGAGAACGTATTCTCGCACTCCCTGTATTCTGACAATCGCCCGGCGGCGCATGGCCTGACGAGGCCGAGTCTTCGACGCCGTGCTATTTCTTGATGTGACTGGCGGAGATGTCACAGCCCGGTCTTTAACAGCACCGTGCCCGGGCCATGGCCGTCTCCGTCCTCGCAGGCGCTGGACTAGCAGACCAGCACGGCAGGAGCTCCAGCAGTCCCCGCTTCGAGGCGCGCCGGCCGCCGAGCTCGGCCCGGGCGTGTCACGCCAGTGTGGCCCCAACGACTTGCGCGCTGCTCGGCCCAAGCAGGAAATGCAGCCTGTGTTTGCCAGTGCCCGTCTCGCGTCGGGGTCCGCGAGAGTTGGTTCCCGTCCGTCTCCCGTCTCGCCTCTGCCAGGAGTCGAAAAAGACCCCCTTGATCCCACTCGGGACGCCCTCTCCAGGTCCAGGGGAGGGGGTTGGGGGAGGGGTAAACCCCTCCCCGAAGGGGAAGATAGGGGGTTAGGGAGTTGAGAACAGAGAGAGCTCGCTAAACCACTCACGCCCAAAGGGCTGGTGGGATTTCCCAATAGTTTTTGAAGCATTCTTGCGCTCTCCCATGTTCCGCCTCCCCACGGTCCCGGACCGCATCAGAGGCCCTTCAGATCGCTCCAAGACGGCCGAAGAGGCTCCCAAGAAAGCCCAGAGACGGCCCAGGAGGCCCCCCAGATAACTCAAGAGGGCCTCGAGAGCGCCCCAAGAGAGCCCCAAGAGCGACCCAAGAGGGCCCGAAGAGCGCAACATTTCGAGGTCTCTGGCCTGAGAGGCTGCTAGGACGCCCCCAGAGGCCATCAAGAGGCTCCCACGAAGCCCCGTGAGGCTCCCAAGAGGCCCCGCGGAAGCCCCAATAGGCCCCCAAGGGGCCCCCAGGGAAGCCCCCTGCGGGCCCCTAAGACACTTCGGTAAATCGTATTTCCCAGATAGCTTTCCGGGAACATGATTCCTTGGGCTTCCGCCCACCGCCCCAACCATGTTTCTAACTTGCCGACAAGGGCAAAAGGCGCCCCTCGGTAAGCCCCCAGAGGCCCCCTTGTTAGAGAGCCGAACAAATCATGCTCCCCGAAAGCTTCCCGGGAACATGATTCTCTATCTCGGAGTAGGCCCGGGGGGGGGGCGGCGGGCAGCTGCTTGTTCCCCCCATCGGTGCCCAGCGGGAGTTGCGGAGGGGGTCCAGAGCTCCCGAGGCGGCCCGAGCCTGCCCCGAAGCAGGCCACGACAGGCTAGTTGGCGACGTCGTGCGTCCCCAAGCGCAAGCATGTGCAGCCCCTGAGTCAGCCTCGCGCGCAAGGGGGGGCAGGGGGAGGGGGGAAGGCTTCTTGGAAACACCTCTTCTTCTACGAAGCCTTCCCCCCTCCCCCTGCCCCCCTTGTGCGCGCCGCCAAGCAAGAATGTGCAGCCCGATTTCGTCGTCGCCGTATCCACCCGAAGTCTCATCGTCCTCTTGGCCTGTGCCCTCCCCCCCCCGTCCTTCCCAGGGAGGAGGGCGGGAGGACGAAGGCCAACAGGGAGGGAGGGAGGGAGGGAGGGAGGGAGGGAGGGGGGAGAAGGGGACGGATGAAGGGAGGGAGGCAGGACCTCCCGCCCTCCCTCTTCTTCTCCACCTCGCCCTCCTCCGCCCCAGCGTCTCTGGCGGGATCTGCTTTCGGGCCGCAGCGGCCCGGCGGCTCCTGATTCAGAAGCCGCCTTCACTCGCAATCCGCGAGGCCAAGGTCGCCGGAAGACCCCTGGAGCTCTCTGGTGGTATCCTGCGCCACGTGAATTACGGCGCCCAGGACAGTCCAGGTCATCCCCCTCCTCCGCCCTCCCCACCTCCTCGGTTGTCGAAATTGTGCATTTCTGTGTTTTCAGATTCCGATCTAGGCGCCCTCCTGCTTCAAGAGCCGAGCTGTGTTCCTTTTCCCTCCTTTTGAGGAAGCGGGCGCAAACCCAATATCCAATATATGTTCAACGCCTTCCCATTTCAGAGTTTCACCGAATTCTTCCGATCGATAGATATTATTTTCCTCCTGTCCTCCTGCTCCAGTGGGCGCCGAGTACTCCCCCCCTCGAGCGATTTCCTTAGCTCCCGCCTGCGCCCGGGGTATCACGCGATCACCCCGCGGTGCTCAGTTGTGGGGGGAGCGGGGGATGCCAGGGAGGGGAGGGGAGGAGAACCCCGACACGCACGCGTCGTGTGGGAACCACACCGGGAGTGTTTTTGTCTTTGCTCTGAAGTTTTCTGTCTTTGGGGGCCCTCGCCGGGCCTCGGAACCGTCAAGCAATGATTCGGGATAGCCGGCCCTGAGGAGAAAGGTCGGCGTTTCCGCAATCAGCGCATCGCATGTCTGGAGAGGGCAAGGGGGAGGGAGGGAATTGCGCAGAGATGTGGGCCCACGACGCAGCGCAGTGTGACCCAGCGGGAGCTTTTTGGTCGCCGGGCGCGCATGGCTTCCCTGCTTGCCCGCCGGCTCAGAGTCCTGGGGAGCGCCGATCCGGCGCCTTGGGGGCACCTCCAGCCGTACGACTCCTCTGCGCTTCGGCGCACCATCCGCCGGCTGGCTCCGGCGGCGTCGAGAGAGGCCGGCCGGGCAGGTGCGCCTCCCGCCCCGCCGTACGAGGCCGCCGTGCGGGCGGCCACGCCGGTGCTTGTGCCGCCAGTGCCGGTGCTCCCGGGAGGGGTGGGGGGGCTGGTCTTGATCGGCTACGCGGGAGGGGAGGGGTCCCGCCGTCAGAGAGGGGGAGAGGCACCGCTGTAATTACACAGGTGTCGTTCCCCCCCCGCGGGCCGCTTTCTCCACATGCCGACTGCCGAATTGACCTCCGTTCCTTTCCTGACTGGTTTTGCTGTTTTACTGGTGGCCATCCAGAGCAGACCCCCAGCAGCCTCCCAAGAGAGGCGAGCGGGCTCGCAGGGCGCCCCCCCCCCACCCCGCACAGGCTTGCGCGTTTGGGTTTGGCCCCGTCGCAGCCTGCCAAGGCCGCGCATCGAAGGTGATTCTCTCCGAGGCCCCCGTGTGCGCATGTAGCCAATCTCATCCCGGGACGGGGCTCCCCGAGAACCATGTCTTCGTCGGTGTAAGGACTTAGCTACTTTTGGGCCTCCCGCGGCGCCCTCGCCGCGACGGCAGAAGAGGCCCTCCAAGGAGGGACTACAGTAACTAACTCAAGCGATTGAAAAAAAAGCGACGGGCGTTGTTCTACGTTCTCGGCTTAGGGGGTCCACAAGTAGCCCTGGGACCATCCAAGACCAGTCCCGGGGGTGGGCTCGAGAGTTCTGGGGCACGCGAAAAGACAATCACGACGTCGGAGGTCCGGGCACCCCACAGGAGGGAGAGGAGGAGGAGGGAGAAGAGGAGGAGGAGGAGGAGGAGGAGGAGGAGGAGGGAAGGGGTCCACTATCACCAGCCCCAGCGTCCATGGAATTTCGGCCATGGGCTGAGGCTGACATGTGGAATTTGGTTCTGGGGCTCGCTTTGATGCGCTCATTAGCGGGGGCAGATGAGCAGTAGCACCGGCAGGAGCAGCAGTAGCAGCAGCAGAAGGAAAATGGGAAGAGGAGCAAGAGGAGGTGGAGAGGGAGTGAGAGATGGCTCTTGCTCTTCATCCTCAATGTATTCTCGCTTACAGGCCCAGATGTGCGATAGACGATAACACGCAGGCCCCAGGAACGTCTGGCAACGAGCCCCAGGACCCAGAACGGTGCCACAGAGGACGTCATGTGTTGTAAGGTTGGAGGTGTGGGTCTGCCTGAAATTTTGAACCCTCGCACCTCTCCCCCGGTGCGTCCGGTCTAGAATTTCGGGGCGGATCCACGCGTGGCGACGAGGGCCGCCCAGGATGTTCCAAAACATTTCGGAAAAGTCAGAGTCATCTCTTCGAGGAGGAGGAGGAGGAGGAAGAGAAGGAACAGGAGGAAGAGGAGGATGATGATTATGCTGAAGGAGTGGATGACGATGATGATACTGCTGCTGATGATGATAAAAGAGGAGATGATGATGGTGCTGACGAAGATGATGGTAAAGGTGATGATGATGCTAATGGTCATGATGCTGATGACGATGATGGTGATGATGCTGAAGCGGTTGCTGATGGTGAGGTGATGATAATGTTCATGTTGATGCTGATGATTACGATGGCGATGATGCTGATGATGATGATGCTGATGATGCTGATGGTGATGATGATACTGGCTCTGATGATGATGATGATAATGATGCCGATGCTGACGATGCCGATGCTGATGATGATGATTGTTACCATCACGCTGACTACGACGACTATGGGTGTTACGATGAGTTTGCTGTTGTTGTTGGTGATGGTAATGCCGATGCTGGTGCTGGTGCAAATACTGCTGCTGCTGATGCTGCTGATGATGATAGCGACGATGTTGATGATGGTTATGCCGATGATGGTGATGATGCGGATGATGATGATGGTGATGGTGATGGTGATGGTGATGGTGATGGTGATGGTGATGGTGATGGTTGTGGTGATGATGGTGATGCTGGTGATGATGACGACGACGATGATGATGATAATGATGATGCTGTTGCTGATGATGATGATAATGTGATGTCGATGCTGGTGCTGATGATGCTTCTTCTTCTACTGCTGCTGATGATGGTGGTGGTGGTGAGGGCGGGGGTGGTGGCCATGATGATGATGATTATGATGATGAGGCTGATGATGATGATCATGATGATGATGTTGATGATGCTTAATGATGCTGATGATGATGGTGATGGTGGTGATGGTGATGGTGATGATGATGTTGGTGGTGGCTGTGGTGGTGATGATGATGCTGATGCCGATGATGACGATGATGATGATGATGAGGAGGATGATGATGATGATGATCATGATGACGACGACAACGATGATGATGATGATGATGACGATGATGATGATGATGATGATGATGATGATGATGCTGATTAGGATTATGATGATGAAGCTGTTGATGATGCTGATGATGATGATTATGATGCTGATGATGATGATGAAGCTGATGATGATGATGATCATGATGACGATGACGATGACGATGACGATAATGATGATGATGATGATGATGATGATGATGATGATGATGATGATGATGATGATGATGATGATGATGATGATGATGATGATGATCATGATGGTGATGATGATGATGATGGTGATGATGGTGGTTTTGGTGCCAGTGGTGAGGAGGAGGAGGAGGAGGAGGCGGAGGAGGAGGAAGAGCGAGCGTATTCATCCTACTTCTTGACGTGGAAGCGGATGGGCAGTGTCCACGAAGTTTCTGGCCCCCCGACAGGCCGCCGTGGGGAGGGCGCCCTTGTGCGCGAAGAGGGGCTGCGTGATGCAGCCCTCCGACGTCACGAGCGCCTCGCGGAGCCGCGTTTTTTTTTTCTGCGGGAGGAGCGGCCGCACGTGAGAGTGACCCTTCGCCAGGATGACCCTTCGCGCGGGTCCACTGGGGCTGGTAAGGTGTCGGGCTGCGCACAGGCAGCCCGCCCCAGGTCGTCCCACTTGGCCTCAACAGGCCCCCCGTCTAGTCTTGGGCGGTCTCAGCACCCTGGCGCTGCCTCCGGCGGTGCCCCCGGGGCGCTCCGCGCCCCGGGGCAGGGTGTTGATGCCGCCCCAGACTAGACAAGGGGGCCTGTTGAGGCCCGCCAGGAACACCTGGAGGGGATCGGGGGGGGGGAAACTGGGGGGAGGGGGCGCTCCAGACTAGACAGGGGGGCCCCAGGTCAGGGTGTTGATGCCGCCCCAGACTAGTGACACCGCCAGGAGTACCTGGAGGGGATCCTAGGGGGGGACCAAGCTGGGGGGAGGGGGCGCTCCAGACTGGACAGGGCGGCCCCAGGTCCAAGGGGGCCTGTTGAGGCCCACCGGGAACACCTGGAGGGGATCCGGGGGGGGGGGCAACATGGGGGGAGGGGGCTGCGGGTTGGGGAGGTCAACGGGATGGGGGTTTGCTAAGGGTTACTCCCCCCCTGTGCTCGGGTCCTGCTGGCGCGCTTTTTGGGCTATGATATGTAGGTTGTGTGGCATGTGTGTGCTGTGTAATGTAAGCAATGTTGTGTGGGCTGTGTCGCATTCTACGTGGTGCAGTATGTGTTGTGCAAGCTATGTGGTTCAAGCTGCGTGGTGCAAGCTGCGTGGTGAACGCTATTTGGTGCACGTTATGTGATGCACGCTATGTGGTTTCGTCTTCCTTGGTGCAAACTATGTGGTCTAATATTTGTGGTGCAAGCTACGTGGTGCAACTAGATCCGACCGTCTTGGAATCAGCAGCTACACTTTTGCGCACATATTCCACCCACCCGCATCTCGATTGACAGAATCCGTTCGGCCACGATTGTGGTTGCAGGTTGGAGCTTGCTAGCGCGTCTCTACGGCCGCATTGGCGCGCGCATCTTCACGCGCAGATCGGCCAGTCAGTTTGACACAGTTGGTGCGGTTGAGATGGAACTTACCCATGAGAATTCCCACCGCGTCTCAAATGCAGCGCTCGTGCGCGGGCACTTGAAGTAATGCAGGTCGGCGGCCTGGGCGGCCGCGACATCACGATGCCGTCGACACCGGCGGCAACGATGATAATCTCGATGGTGCTGGCGATGATTACGGTGACGACGGCAACACCAATGATGGCGCCCACGCTGGAGACGACGATGACGATGGTAGTGTCAACATGTCGGTGATTGTGTTTCGTGGCCATATTGGCTCAATCCATTTGGCGAGTTGGCGGCGGCGCGATTGCTCCTTCTCTGCAATTGTTACTCACGGCCCATGGAGCTCACTGGTGTGTTCGACTCCATTGCCGCTTCCTCGCTGTGCTCCAGCGGCCGCCGCTTTGCCATACGTGCGGCCATCTGCCAATTCAGTGCCAATTCTAATCGCCTTGCGGATGAGGACCCGATTCTCATCCAAGAGGCTATTCTGGAAACCCTCGGGTGCTCGCGGTTGCAAGATGCGAAAGCCCGTCCTCGCAGCGGTGGTCACAAACGCTCTATCGAATCGGCTCGGGCTCTTGAGTCGGAGGAGGAATGCAGCTGCCCACCCTAAGTGGTCTTCCCTACTGTCCCAGATTATTGCCATTGCCTCTTCGCTCCCAAAGCAGGAACTTGGCGACGACGGAGACGAAGTTATGGATATTATACCAATTGTTTCATCGGAGGAGGAGGAAATCACTGACGCCGACCTTTGTGTGCAGCAGAGCAGTGAAGAAGATGAGATTACTGGCCCATCACGTATCGACGTTCTCGAAGATGATGGAATTGATGTTGCGGCCAGCACGGCGTGTACACTCTCTCCGACTCAAAAGACAGGCTCTCATCTCGTCGAGAACTACTTGTCCCAGCACCCAGAAGCGGTTCTTCAGGGATCGGAAGTGGCTATCAACTCGTCGCCGGTTGAGGGCCCCTGCTCTTCGACATCGGTGGCTTCAAAAGTTGTGAAGCACTTCTCTGATAATTATGTTTCTCTGAACCCTGGTCGCAAGGCTCAGTGTGACCATTGGCTTCGCTCCCTCGCCATCTACCTCCAGCCCAGCCTCTTCGACAACCCGATCGGCATGATCCAATGCATCATCAGCGTCAACCCTATGGGGGCGATTGAGGAGCTCAACAGCAGTCTTGGCGTTTCCTCCGTTCGCGATGCCCCTCAGGACCCCCAGGTTCTGGAGGGACCTTCTGGTGGCACGACTGGTGATGCGCAGCTTGTGGTGGACAAAGTGAGGCTTTGCGAAGATACATTTCAGTTCAACTGTTCGGCTATGCGTGGGCTCCGCGTTCACACCACCCCTTTGTCGGGAACGTACTGCTGTGATTATTGCGGGCAGGACATCAGTGCACATGAGAGTCTCTTGATCTGCGAATCATGCGACGTTGAAGTGCGCTCGGCATGTCAAAACAATGCCGCTGCTACGCAAGCTGCCATGGTTGTGAGCTGACACGCTCGTACTTGCATCCCTTCTTGCTCTCTCTTTGGCGCTGTTCTCATGGGTTACCTGCGCCGTTCCTTCACACACGTATTGTTTCCTCTCACTGTGGTCATGCGTAATTTCGAGTCCTCTTGGCTCCACCAACTGCCAGGATGCCCCCCGCCCCGCGCTGCGTCGTCTTCTCCAAAGTCTCTCCGCAATGCAGGCCAGCTTGCTTCCTTGGCGCGGATGATCTCATTTCGCTCAGGCTCAGGCAGACATGCTCCAGGCTATTCAGGAAGGCGGCGATCCTCTACACCGAGCTCCGTGTATATGACGTCAGTTATGGATACCACATTACTCATCAATCTGTGAGGCTGAAGTGGTTTTCCATCGATTTCGTTTCTCGCTTCTCGGAAACACGTGTTTATGTTGGTGGCACTCTCCCTCCTTAGGATCAAGTGGTTTCGCATTAATATTGTGTCACGTGTGCTATGCAGTGGTTTACCTTCTCTTGCATGTTGGGTTTCTCCTAGTACTATTTGGTGGTCCTCCGCAGTGGTTCTTCCTTAGACCCAGGCTTGGTGTATCCTGCCATGTTTGGTGGCATTTGGAAGATACACAGATCCTCGATTACCGCGACGCCCCCCCCCCCCCCAACAAAAAAAAAAAAAAAAAAGTCGGTGATTGTGCAAGGTGGTTGAGATGATGACGGCGGCAACGGCGGCGACTGGAAACGACAACAACGGCGGCGATTCCATCGCGTTGGTGAGGAGATGAGAAATTGTGCGCGACAATCCATTAATGTGTACAGACGTTGTTTTGCATGGTAATCGTTTTATGTGTGTGTGTGTGTGTGTGTCGAGGGGCTTTGTTGTGAGATGCTTCAAGACATTATTGTGTTGTAACTATTTCGACATGCGCGCGTGGCGGCGCGCGCGTAGACCTGCGTGGCGTTATTTGACACGGGTTCGTGCATTCGGCACATTCGCGCATGCTAGGTCAAAGCGGGCGCACATCGCGGCGGGATGACGATGCGGCTTCTGGGCGAAATTGTTTGGGTCAATACGGTCTTCGTGCGGTTTCAGAAAGTGCAAATGTTCGCGGGAAGACAATGAGCTAAATTTTTGTTGAAGGACAAGTGATGCGATGTTTGGATTTTGCGTTGGATCGCTTGCAGAACTAATGCGTTTTGTTAGATCTCGACATGTGCGCGCGCGTGGAATTTGTTCATTTGCTGCAACGGGTTATTGGGCATTGTTGTTCAGATCAGCGCGTGAGCTTGTACAGTTGCATTCGTCAGGGCGACGGGGGTGTCGACGCCCCTTTGCTAGGATGGCATGGTTCCATTTGGAGGATGAGCGTCGAGGCGAAATCTTGGAAGTTGCATCTCCCAGGGGAGAGCGGGTCGATATGATCTGTCTTCAGAACAGAGAACACATTGGGCGCCATCGGGGAGCCCATGGGCGGGCACCAGGCGAAACCTCGGCATGCCCCCAGCGCGGCGCGCCCACGAAGCGCCCACGGTCGCGCGGTGCCCCCACGAGGCGCCCACGGGCGAACACCGGCCGAAACGCCGCCATACCAGCGGCGCGCTCACGACGCGCCCACGGGCGCACACCGTCTGGGAACCATCTAAAATCCTGCCACACCCATCTTGCTCCCGACGTAACAAAATGTATCAACCCACAGGTGCAAGCATTTCTTGACAAGCAGGTGCTTGCACCCGACGGTATTAAGTGCTGTCCCAACAAGCACGGCTTCTAACAACGTATGCTGTGGTACAGATGTGGGGCAAGTTACGTGGGCCAATCTATTTGATGCAATCAGGGCTAAAGGGTTAGGGCTATGGTTATAGGGGGTTAGGGTTAGGGTGGTAGGGTTAGGGTTCGGGTTCGGGTGGTAGGTTTAAGGTTCGTGTGTTACGGTTGGTGTCATGGGGGCTCGGGCTAGGTTGGTAGGGTTAGCGTTAGCGTGCTAGCGTTATTGTGTTAGGGTATGGGGTTAGGGGTAGGGTAGTGGGTTAGGATTAAGGTGGCGGGTCAGGGTTAGGGTTAGGGTTCAGCGGTGCGCGTTCAGGTTCGGGGATTCTGGGATTATGGGGGTTAGGGTTAGGATGGTAGGATTAGAGTTCGGGTTGGGTCTAAGGTTAGGGTTAGCGTGTTAGGGTTAGCGTGTTAGGGTTAGGGTTAGGGGATCATGGGGTTCGGATTAGGGTGAGGGTTATAGGGGTTGATGCCATGGGTTCGGGAGTTCGGGATTAGAGGTTAGGGGTCAGAGCGTGTTGTTTGAGGTCGGCTTAGGCTCAGGGGTGTTTGGGGTAAGGGTAAGGGTAAGGGTAAGGGTAAGGGTAAGGGTAAGGGTAAGGGTAAGGGTAAGGGTAAGGGTAAGGGTAAGGATGGGAGTGAAGGTACGGAATAGGGTGAGGGTTCAGGGTCGGGCTTGACATAGAGGTAGGTTTGGGGGTTGGGTGTTTGGGATGAAGGTTAGGGTTACGGGTTAGGGGGGTTAGGGTTAGTGAGTGGGGGTCTAGAGCTAGGGTTCCAGAATAATGGGGGGAGGGGCTCCCCTCCTATCTTGAAAAAGAGGGAGGGGAGGGGGGGTCCGATTTTCGAATCCAAAAGGGGGGAGGGACGGGGAATTCGAACCTCCTCCCATTTTTGAAAGGGGGGGGGGGCCCGCCGACGACGGATCGGGAAGGGGGGTGCCCGCCGACGACGGACCAGGGAAAAGGGGGGAGGGGGGGCGGGGGAGTGTCCGGACCCCCCCTCTTGAGCGCATCCAGCGGCGCGCCCTCGGATTACAGGGGGGGAAGATTTTACACGTCTGGAGACCCCAAAATAGGCACGATGCCATTGACGTTGAATAGTGTAGGTGCCTCCGGCCCTGAACTAATTGAGACATGCATCTCCAGGTCACTCTGAGCAGCGCCGAGGACCCAGGAATCCCCGATTTTCGGTGTCAGCCGACAAGGTCATTAAGCCAGGCAAACCAATTTAAAACGTCGTGATTGTGCCTTGTCGCGGAACAGAGGCTACATAGCAGCATCCACCCAGCAGTGACTCGAGTCCGCGTGCACTCGACAGTGTGCAGTCGCACAAACGCGACCCTTGCAACATCCCGACGCTTTTATTGTAGACCTCGAAGGCCGGCGGGTGGATCAAGGAGTTGGGAGTGTGAGTTGTAGAAGATTCAGGAGGATGAGGAGTACGGTGGAGGAGGAGGAGGAGGTGGAGGAGGAGGAGGAGGAGGAGGAGGAGGACGAGGACGAGATTTAGGACGAGGACGAGGACGAGGACGAGGACGAGGACGACGAGGACGAGGTTGAAAGGAAGACGGATGGAGGAGAATGGGATGTTGGTCGGGTGGAGACGTCGTATGGTTGTCGGCGAGGTCACGGGCCCGATACCATCGTATACAAAGATTATAGCTCAAGGGCTGTATTGGCCCAAGGATTGTTGATCAGAGCGTTGTCACCGTTTTTGTTCGCCCCTCACCGCGTTACATGCATCGTTATCTGACTCTCTCCTCGGTTTCGTCTCTTTCATTATTGATTACTCATGTTCGCCCTCGTCCTCCCCTTCCTTCTTGCCCTCGCCCTCTACCTCCTTGTCCCTTCCTCCTCATCTCCTTCCCCCTACCACTCATCCTGTGGGGCCTCTGCTTGGAGTGTTCTCTCCAGGGTCTCTACTTCGGGTACGCCACTTCCAGATATTTGGCTAGACCCAGCCCAAAGGGAAAGCACTGGGTGGTTGAATCTTCGCGGGGGAAACACTGTTACGAGCTGCAGAGCCCCTTGGGACGCGAGTGCTGCCCTTGGCACAGGGCTACCTCCGCAAGAGCAATGCTCGCGAACGGTGGGGGTCGGGGGCCCCCAAACGGTGTGGCGACCACATCGCGATCGCGTGGTGAGTCAGTGGGGATTCGGGGTCACTGCACGATTTTGAGGATCTCTCTGGCGACTGGGGCCTCCAAGGTGCAAAAACCATGCGGTGACGGACCGCGCAGTGAGGTCGATGGAGATTCCGAGGTCACCACGCGGCCCGTCACCCCACGGTGTTGGGGCCCCGAGCACAGGCGTCTTTCCGGAAGAGCAGTGCTCGTGAGCGGCGGGGGGCGTCAGGGCCGCCCTCGGAGGGACCCCCCCAGCCGCTCCGCCGCGAGAGGAGCCATTACTTCTGCGACCGCTGCTCCGGCCGCTCCGCCGCCCAGCACCTGGGGGGCAGCACGCGGCGGTGGACCTGCGTGAGGTCCGCGCTGGCCCGCCCCGCTCCTCCCCCCCAGATTATCAACGTTGGCCCTCGAGAGCTTTCAGCACCCTCTGGCGATCACGGACGTGACTGGGAGGAGGGGGGGAGGTGGGGAGGGGGACGGTCACGTCACGATTCCCGCCAGCGCCGTCTGGGAATGCTTGAGACTTGCCCATTCCCAGACGACGTCGGCGCGAATCGCATCGCGACCAGGCGGGAAGAGAGGGGAGGGGGGCGGGGCGGGTCACGCGCGGGATCGCGAACCATTAACAAGCGGGCTCCGATCTCCGAGTAGTTGTCCTTCGATGTTCGCCTTCGGAGGCCTTTCTCGGGCCACGGGACGACCAACAAATGGATGTGCGGAGAAAAAATGGTCCCAGGGAAGCAGCCGAGACTCTTCCAAGTAGGACAAACAGCATAAACACAAACTTTCGGAGCTCCCCGCCTCTCCGCCAAGGGGGGCCATCGCCGACCCAAGAAATCTGCGCGGAGCTCCGAAAGTTTATATATAATGTTGTTATTGTCCTCAGATCTCTGTGGCCGCATATGATGTTGTTATTGTCCTCAGATCTCTGTGGCCGCGCAGTGAAACATCATATCGGCGGGTCAGGCCGGTCCCGCCTGGCGGCGCGGCGCACCCCCTGGCGACCCGAAGGGCTCCGCCCACCCCCAGGATGGTCTTGTGCGCGCTGCAGCCGCCCAGGGTCGAATGGACGGGGAGGAGGAAGGGCGGTACTGAAGCAGGGCCGTGCTGAAGCAGGGTCGTGCTGTGCAGCCGCCGAGAGGCGCAGGGCCACCCCGGGAGGAAGGGTCGTGCTGGAGCAGGGTGGTGTTTTGCAGCCGCTCGGTGCGTGGAGGCTGTGGCGCGCCGTGGTTCGACGGAAGGCACTTCCCTGCTCTACAGCCAGGACTTGCATCAGCGATCCAGTTTCTTCTTTGACAGCGGAGGCGTTTGCCCCAGAGGGGGCGGCGCGGACTTTGGAGGAACTCTTCACCCATAAGAGAAGGGACTGGTCATCAGTGACCTGAGAGGAGGGAGGAGGAGGAGGAGGAGGAGGAGGAGGAGGAGGAGGGCACGGAGAGCAAAATCGGATCGGCGGATGTCCAGGAGCCCTCCCTGCGTCAGGGGCCCTCGGCAGGTTTTCGCGCCTCGCCTCGGCCCTCTGCGGCCAGGGGGGGCCGCATGGGGGCGCGCTGCTCAAGCAGGAGAGCTGCGCAGCGAGGGATCCCCTGCCCGTGAGGAGCGCTGAACACAGCACGGCGGAGATCAGTGTTCGAGGACCGACGTCGAGGATCACGGCGGGCAGTTTCCGGCTGTTTTCGGCACCGTGGGCCCTCGCCTGACCTTGGGACCGTCAATGAAAACAATCGGGGATGAAACTGTTGCTCTGGTGAACAGGTCGGGGATTCTGGGCCCGGCGCGCTGAAGAGAACAAACATCGCGTGTGTCCCTGGGAACACGGAGCGGTTGAGGCTTTTCCGGCCATGGCGAGCCTCGGCCACGAATAGGCGGCCCGAGAGCCAGACTCTTTTGTGAGCCACAAGAGGTCCTTTATTCAGCGTCGGACCGAGATCGCGCCATGGCGCCCCGGAATCCAGACAGCCAGGGCGCGGATACGGATATGTTCGCCGCTCGTGACATGATGGCGATGGTTGCTCGCCCCCTCGGGCGTGCTCTGCAAGCAAGCGCCAGCACCGCCCAGGTGTGACTACGACATCTGCTTCAAGTGCCACCCAGAGCCTGGGGCCACCGGAGCCTGAGGCCATCGGGGGCTGTAAGACGAAACCAGAATGGGGCAACATCGGATCGGCGTGAAGCGCCCCAGCATGGATGGTTTTTCGGTCTCTGGCCGCAGTCTGCTCACATACATCGGCCCAATGACAGTTCCTTGAATTTTCATCACGACGCTGGCCGGCGGAAGCCGATGGAAGTAAAAGGAGGCGGAAGACGGGGGAAGGCCGTCGGAAGGCTTGCGGATGTCAGAGGAAGTAAACGACGCCCTTTCCGAACCCCCCTACCCCCGTAGAAGCCTAGCAACGTAGTCTTCTTCCGTGGGCCGGGCGGGATCCCGCCTGGCTTATTCCGCTTTAATATTACAAGTTTAGTTCAGGACGATTAAAATTCCACCCATTAAAAATGGGGTTGAGTAAAATCCCGGGTCGTTCGCGGATCCCGCCATGCTGGGATCGGCTCGAAGTAAAGTCGGGGTCATAAGTTGCAGTATCCTTGCCGTGTTGGGGCCGTCTTGAGGTCATTTTGAGATCATCTCCCGGTCGCGTTTGGATCACGCAGTCGTCGCATGGGCATTCTGGGGCCACCTTGGGCGCGCTTGGATCCATCTTGTTGCCATCGGGCCATCTCGGCGTCACACGTTGCTCATGTGTTTCGTCATCTGCGAGTCGGCCTGAGACGGTCCAGGATCCATGGCGGGATCGTGTTGGTGTGGCATCATCCTGGGGTCGTCTGGACGTTATCGTCCGTGGCCTGAGGCCCTCCTGGAAGCATGTGGTGGCCATGGGGCGTCTTGGGATCGCGTGCGTGGGAGCGCTGAGCACGCGCGCGCGACTTTTCATCTTGCTGACGGGTATACATACATATTCTCCCGCTTGCGAGTTTCCAAGGGAACTTTTGCTGGAGCCAAGTATGCCGCAGCCTTGACAGGACACTGAGACGAGACAGGTGCTGCCTGGGTCATCGGCTGCGGGCGTCCCTCTCCCTCTTCCTTCCTCCGCCCTATCCAAAAAGTCGCGGTGAAAAGCGCAAAAACATCGGATCGGGATACATCGGGGATCTGTGAGATCCGGCGGAACCTCGCCTCCCCTCGTGCTGGTCGGAGTTTGGGCCCCGCCTCCTCGGACCCCGAGCTGGCTCGAATCAGCCTCCGTCTTCTGAGCCTCTTCGTCTTCGGAGCATCGGGGCTAGCCGACAGCAGCGATGATATGTTTCAAGCCTCCACGAGTCCGCAGGCGAGATCCCCTGACCCAGACCTCGGGGGGGTCGCGCGGTGCAGTTCACTTTCGGCCCCTATCGTTGCGGCCATTCTACGCGTTGAGGGCATGCAGGGACGCTTTGGAACGATCTTCTCCTGGTCCTGGACCGGCCCAAGATCGGCGAAGAAGGGCAGGTCCGTGGGGAGGAGCGTCGGCCCCCGCTCATTGCCAACAGCATCGCTGGAGGCCCCCAGCGTGCCCAGGAAGTGCTATTCCGTTACCGGGTGCCCATCGGCGGTGCATAGTCGATTCCAAATCGTTGTTTCCCCCTTGCTCATATCCCCCTGAGTCTCTCTCTCTCTCTCTCTCGTCTCTCGTCTCGTCTCTCTCTCGCTCTCTCTCTCTCTCTATCCGTCTCTTTCTATATGTACATATATATATGTATATATATATATAGATCCCAGCGAAGCTTGCACTTGCAGACGCATTGGTGTATCTTCCCCGTCTTGCTCGAGTTCCTCCCGTTCAGCGTAGCTCGTTGCAGCGTGAGGCCGGCATACTGGTCTGCCCAGCGTGCGAAGATGGACGGTTGAGAGGCCGACCACAGGATCATTCTTGATTCGGCCCCCATGCCATACCCAGAGCGTTGGATTGTCAGCAGGTCCCAAACGGTGCGGTGACCACACCGTGTGGTCAGTCAGTGGGGGTTCGAGGTGACCGCACGGTGTTGTCAGCAATCATCCGGAGCAGCAAGATGTTGGCAAGTACAGCTGCGAGGAGGCCTGGGCGTGCACCCGCGCGCCGCGCAGCTAGCAACGGCGCGAGAGGTGCGGCGCTTTGCATATCGGCGAGTTTCCACAAAAAAAGGTGTCGGGGAGACGCAGTTCGCTCCTCTCGAGTCGCGTGCACCTGGGGGCCCTCAGCCATGCACCCGGGGGCGGCCTCTTCTCCGGGCTCTCGGGGGTCGGGTCATGGGGGGGGGCGATGCACAGGTGGGCAGCGAGGGCTGCAGAAAAGGGGCCCTTTCGGGCCCTGGAGGAGCCCTCTGGGGCTCAATAGAGGATCTGTAGAGTCCGAAAAGTGCACCTTTCTCCCCCCTCCCCCCCCCCCCCACGTACCGCCCCCCATCAAGCGACGCCCAAGCCCCCCCCCCCCCCTCCGCGTGCCTTCCTTCTTCCCTGTGGCGCCAGCAGTGGCCTCCAGAGCTCTGAGCCTGCCAGCACAGGCCTGGCGCGGTTCCTGGAGTCGCCAGAGGTTTGGGGAGGTGGGGGAAGCCAAGACATGGTCGCGTTAAAATTGAAAGAAACATCAAAACAAAAGAACACCACGGCCGCTTTTTCCTCGTGTTCGGCCTCTCGGGGCCCTTACCAGGCCCAAGGATCCGTCAAAAAACGGTTCAGGATGAAGAGCTGGTCCCGGGGGAAGGGTCGAAATTTCGGGGCCCGGACATTGGAGAAGAGTCAGGATGTCGCATGTTTGGGAGGGGAGGGGACGGGTCGGGCGACGGGTGTGGAGGTGGGGAGGGGGGGGCCGGCACGAGACTTGTTGTGGAAGGGCTCGAGCTAACCAGTTTTTGTTCCGTGTTCGTTGTGGTTTCGTTGTCTTTCGTTCTGTCGTCCTTCCGCCGTTGTTGCAAAACGAAGGCAGCACGGAAACGATCCACGAGATCGCCAAAACACCGATTAGCTCGAGCCCTGGGCCGAGGTCTGGGGAGGGAGGGAGGGAGGGAAGTGGAGGGGGCCAGGTCGGACGACAGGGGAGGGTATGAAATGTCACCGAGAGCATCCCACTATTCGCAAAGGGCCTGCCCGCAAACGTCTGAAAAGCACATGTTTGCTTCGATGTAACAGATCGCAAATCATTCGCGACGGATCCAGGCTATCCAGGCCATTTGCGAGTAGTTACTTTGCGAGTAGTGGATCGCGCTTGTCTAGAAGGAAGGGGAGCACGACGCCTGCCGCGTACAGCTGGTCTCGGCGCTGCCGCCTGGTCCTTTCCTCGATGTGTGCGGTCGCCTGGCGCCGGGAGGTGCCGGCAAGACCGTGCGCATGCGGCTGGTTCGTTACGGCAGGTTCGCTTCGTGTCCACCAGCGGCGACCCCGCCGTCGGCGTTCAACGTTGAACGCCGAAGGCGACCCAGAATCAGTCGATGTTGAACGATCTGACGTTCTGGAAACGGCCGATCGTTCAAGGTGTAACACTTCCCGCGGTGTCAGAAGCCAGGTCGTCACAGCACGAACCTGCCGTAACCCCAGGTTCCACAAGCCGTCCTAGGGAGATTATGCAGCTTGTTTGGCCGCAGATTGTTTTGGGATTGTTCGATTTTGGGGGGCCTGGGCGCTGTATTGTTTCTGGGCGCGTTGGTGCTGTGGTTGGGATGGTCCCTGGCCTCTCGGTCCTTGGGGTGGCTTGTGGAACTTGGCTGTTTGGTTTTGAATCCACGGCCGCAGGGGTACCGACCGCTTTCCCTGGGTAAGTGCGTCGCCCCCGATGCATTCTCGATGGCCCCGGGGCCCGAAACTGGCCCTCGAGGGCCAGCACCGAGGCACAGCATTGGATCGACACTGTGCCCGAGAATGGCCTCCGAGGGCCGACATCAATAGGGGAACAAAAAGTGGCATAAACATGAAAACTCGGAGGTCCACGCGGATTTCTCGGATCGGCGCTGGACCCCCCTCGGTGGGGCGCGGAGCGCGCCAGGGGCGGCGCCAGAGGCGCCGCCGGGGGGCCCCAGCGCCGATCCGAGAAATCCGCGCGGACCTCCGAGTTTTTATGTTTATGACACTTTTTGTTCCCCTAATCAAGGAACAAAGAATCGCCGGTCGGAAGATCATCTCGTCGGAGATCTGGGACCGCCTCTTCTGCTGCCCACCCCGTCTCGTGCGCGTGCCGAGGGGCCAGGAGCGGGAGGGGAGGCGCGCGTGTGCGGCGGCCGGCGCCCCGCTGCGCAGGCGCAGGAGGTCCTGAGGAGCGGGCAGCGCGCCGAGGAGAGGGCCAATGCGAGACACAAAAAAGCGAGCTCTGGGATCGGGGGCGGCAAAGAGGGGGGTGATGACTAGGGGGGGGGGGGATATCATGGCGGGGGCCATGATGTTTTCCCCAGATGTCATGCCGCCTCTGCTTATTTCATTGCGTCCCTGGTCCCCCCGCTGGGCCGCGCACGTGCCGCCGGTCACGATTTGCACCCCCCCCTCTCTTGGACACCCCCCTCTTTGCCGCTCCCGATGGAAGCATGGGCCTCCGTTCTCGGCCTCCTCCTGGCGGAGCACACAGAGCTGCATGCGCACAGCACTTCTCTTGAGGGCCGCGCGGATCTCTTCGGTCGGCGCCAGGCCCACTCAGGAGGGAAAAAACACAGACTCCCACAGAAACAATGAATCGTCGACTCCCCAAAAATATTGGAAAATATGGGAATTGGGGGGGGAGACGAAACTCCAGAACACATGGACAAATATGGCGGGTTCTGGGATTTGTTTGTACTTATGTGAGGTCGCCCCCCCTGTGATCATACTTCTCTCTGCTTCTCTGCCTATTCCTCGTGTTCCTCTCTCTTCTGTCTCCTTCCCCTCTCTCCTCCTCCTCCTCCTCCTCCTCCTCCTCCTCCTCCTCCTCCTCCTCCTCCTCCTCCTCCTCCTCCTCCTCCTCCTCCTCCTCCTCCTCCTCCTCCTCCTCCTCCTCCTCCTCCTCTCTCTGTAGCAATACAGAACCACTACCAGACAGCGCTTGGCGCCGTCCGTGCAAGGATGCACTGTGTCTTTTTGGTTGTTGTTGGTTGTTCTGGTTTGTGGAACCACGAAACATGTTTTTTTTGAGGGGGGTGATTTTGCGGG